ATATATAGTCCTAATTAAGGTCACTGAATTGTTACAAAGATAGTTAAAAATATGACTGTTGCTAGCTTAGATTAAAAAAAATAAAAAGATGAGGTGGGAAAAGGCAGAAGACCTTGTAAGTATAAATAGTTGGAGAAAAATAATTCTAACAATATGACAGTATGTAAAAGTTTAAGTATTTAAATTTTTTAAAAATATTCTGTAATCTGTGATGAATATAAGAATATGCTAGAAATTAGATCTTCGTCCAGGAGAAAAGAAACGGTAATGCACACAAGGTGCTTTTTGTTAGAGAATAGATAATAGTCTTCCAGTTTTTAAAGTATTTTTTAGTGACCTAAAGTGGCAAGGACTCACTGCTAACAAGAAATGTGCCTTTCTTGGAAATGTTCTTGCACTGTCATGTAGCTGAAAAAAATTCAAAGCAAAATTCTGCCATCTGAATATTTTATCAATTTCTTATTGAAGGAAAATATGTTCGTGATGGAATATCAGTACCATGGTAAAAATTAGATAATCTACCTTCACATTTTAAAGGAAAAACCCAAGGTAGACCTCAAGAAATCTGACAATCCAGTGAAGACTGCTTTTCCACACATAGGCAGTTATTTCATCACAATAGTTAAAAAAATAGATTCATGAAAGTAAAAGGCTCCAGCAAAAATCACTTTATCTATGAAAATCAAATATACAGTTTCTAAACTGATTATAAAATCACACCTGGAATAAATTTAAAACCAATGCAATGCATTTATGCGTTTCTTCTTTTAGAAAAGGATATTTTACACCAACTAGTACATGACAAACTACTTACCAGGTTCCCTACAGAAAGGACACTGCTAAACTGTTCTGTCATTGGGTAATGTTCCATGGCCATAAACAAGGTGTTTAAAACAATGCAAATAGTTATAGCAAGATCAACAAATGGATCCATCACAACTAAATTGACGACATGTTTTACTTTTAACCATGGACTCCAGCAATCCCAGATCAAGAAAGTATTTGCAAATCTGTACCAGCATGGTGGGCATTTCTGTCTGGATTCTTCAAGCTCTGAAAAAAATAGAAAAAAAAATCAAATAATGAATATTCAAATTAGATCCTCTGGAAGTTCTTGTTTAAAATATATAAAAAGATTAAATCATTCAAATAGCACACACTAACATGGGATTTCCCTCACCTATGTTTAGCCATCTTAAAGTTAAGCATCTAATTTATTTAAGCTCCTCTACAACCAGTGGACAGTGAAGCTGTCTATAAAGAGTGAATCATCTCTTACATCTATCTAAAAAGAGAAATGTGTTTGTCTCTTTCCCATGACAGCAGGGAGAGTCTGGACATTTAGTTTAGGTTAGTTGACTTGATTACAGCAGATGTCTTAATTTTGGATATTAAAAGTTAGCATGACTCCATTGTCAGTGAGCTGATGTATATAATTTGTATAAGCTTCATAAAAGAAAAAATGTTTGTGTTATGCATGTAACATGCATACATATTTTGATTTGAGCTACTAAAAATATTATACTTGCTACTACACTACAATAACTACTACAATATCATAGCAGATAAATGACTTGGTGCACATGCCCATCACTGTTTATTTGAATCAATATTTTTAATATACAGAATGCCTGTTTTCTTATTTTAAATGTTATCATTTGACTTTGAAAATGTCTTATAGAGTTGCACTGTTTATCAATTGAGAAACAGAACAACAACATAGTATTAGCAGAAAACTCTGCTCTCAATTAGGATCTTTACAAACTTTTTAGTCTTCCATTTCACTGTCAATATTGTCAAAGTTACAGAAGAATAGTAACTTCTACTGAGTATTATAATAGCACATCCAATGTGATGGGATGTTTGAGGACAGCCCAGAAGGAAGATTGATAGTTGCTTAAGTGAGAAAGACTACAAAATATGTAAGAAATGGCCACAATACAGTTTCATAGAGTTGGACTGTTTATCAATTGAGAAACAGAACAACAATATTAGTATTAGCAGAAAACTCTGCTCTCAATTAGGATCTTTACAAACTTTTTAGTCTTCCATTTCACTGTCAATATTGTCAAAGTTACAGAAGAATAGTAACTTCTACTGAGTATTATAATAGCACATCCAATGTGATGGGATGTTTGAGGACAGCCCAGAAGGAAGATTGATAGTTGCTTAAGTGAGAAAGACTACAAAATATGTAAGAAATGGCCACAATACAGTTTCAATAAAACTTCTGCATAATGGCATCAACCAAAATTTGAAATTTGCTAGTTTTCAGACATCCCTTAGATCACAGGGAGATCTCCATCATCATGACACTTATGGGTAATTTTGCTAAAATAGCAAACATGCTGTTTTACAGTATTTGCTAACAAGGATTTAGTGCTAAACTCTCCCCTTTGAGGACCAGTGGATTGATTTCTGCCTTTAATATTGTCCTGTATTGGTGGAATTACAGGAACTTAAAAGGTCAGTTGCCACAGCTCTCAAACTCATTGAAACTAACAAGCTCTCACATCGAACTCTAGCCTCCAGGCAGAAAAGAGTATTGTGTAGTGAAAATCTTCTTTAATCTTTATAAATCGTAACGAAGACAGTACTTCTGAAGGAATATATGGATTGGGTGGAATAATGACATTTCTGTACATGTAACTCAGAATGCTGAGAGATAGGATGGGACTGGTCGTGGACAAAAGTGGCCACTCACACTGCACACTGAGTTGTCACAGAAGACTCCATTGCCTGCATTTAGCAAATTCAGAAATAATGGAAACCAGATATAGGTAGGAGGTGACTATCAGGACAACATAGTTTACATTGACATGTTTTTTCTGCCCAGAATAATTCAAGGACAAACTATTCAGCTGGAGGAAGAGAGCAGCATGCTCTAAGGAGGCATCCTCTCTACCTGGGAGGATAATTAAGAATTGCACACCAAGAATCAAGAGGTAGCAACACACTTGCACTAAAGTAAGAAGATATACTCTAAAAGATACATGTTTGTGAGAATGTTTTGTGAATGCTTTTAGAAGACCATAGGCAATATAAGCCTTACATTTCTGACTACAATTATTTTGGGACCGATTTTATCTGAGAGCAAAGGGCTTAAGAACTCGCTTTAAAAAGTATATTTCAATTCGGACTTAAAGTAAGCTTAAGAACACTGTAAATTTTCTTGGTAATTTCTTGTCCTTTTAGAATAGGTTGCAGGACATCCGAAGGGGTTTGTCTGACTATGAGAGCTGTCACACTGAGCCAGTATCCAACAGACAGATAGATCCTTTAAGCTTATGAAAATATTTTAATGGCATATGTATGAAGTATGAGTGTACTCAGTTTCCATTAAATATGCCAAACAATTCCAACAATGTATGCTTTTTCATACAGTAAATACAATATTTTTTTATCTTTGTTATACTTACCTAGGGTAGTTTAAGAAATGCATAAGGAAGGCAGTTCATGTGCATTGGCATGGGTTGATTACAGTTGGTTGTTTTCTTTTAAACTATCTTTTTTATTCAAATTTCCTATTGTCCTTGGATTTTAAATCTAAGGGAAATGACTGTTCTAGCACATCACTGCCTTTATTATAGCAATTCCTCTATATCTTAATTGATTTTTCCTGTTGATATCTTATGGGAAGAAAATCCCTGTATTGTCTGTTTGGGGCTCTGTCCACCCCCTAGCTATGATTATTTTGTTTCTGTTATTCTGTTAGTCCACTCAATAGAGTAATATTTTGGAAGATGTCATGAAAAATAAAGGGCTAGGCATTTAGAATGTGTAAATAAGCTTAGAAGTGCTCAAAAGCTTTTTGTATCTGATGTTCAGAGATTTCACATGTCCAGTTTTACATTTACAAAGGAAATTATGTAAATAATTGCTCTGTACATATATTTAGCAGAAATTCATTGAATTGCCTGTCAGATTAAATGCATCAACTACCTTCCATTGTATTTGTAAGTATGCTGGCTATACTCATTGCTCTTTGTCTTGCAGCAGAATCTTCCAGCATTTCCATGGAAATTTGATAAGAACTCAGTCGTCTTTTTCTTATTTCTGTTTCTGTAGTGGTGCCCTGTAAATGAAATACTGAGGAATTAAACCATCCTTTTCAACAACCAATTAACAATATTTCTTGTATAAATATTGTAGTGATAATCAAAATCAGCTTTGTGCAGCTTTCTAGACTTTTCTTACACACTTAAGGTTTCTGTTCCTTTAGGAATTTCTTTGTTCTTTGTTGAGGAACTCAGTGGGAATTTTGTGCAGCGCTACAAATAATCAACTGGGAGACAAAATACCAAGGCAATGTGGGGCAAAGGTGGTTCTCATTTAAATGACTGAGTGAACAAAATTTTTGCTATGTATCTTTTTGCTAGTGATTATTACTATTCCTTCAAGAAAAAAATTATCAAAGTTGAAACCTGTCACCTTAATTCCAGCAGCTAGTCATGTTAAATAATTAGTTTGTGTGTACAGAAAGAAGTGAAATATTACTTAAGAAAGTAAGTTTGATACAAAAAAATGAGTATAATTCTAGGAATTAATTATCTCTCTAATACTAAATACATCTAATACTCTCTAATACTGTATAAGAACGCATCCTAACCTGATAGCATGGTTGGAAAAATTTATATGAGAAAAAAAGTCATCTTATTTAATATTTCTTCTACTTAATTCTCACCCACTGCAATGCTTATACAGAATTTGTCATATATTCTTGCAATGAATATGCAAGTCCTCTCTGTTTTGTATCACTTCTAATCACCGTTTCAAACCAATAATACCTGGTTCTGATTTAAATGTGCCTAACATGTCACTACTCTGTAGCACATAGGTGTCCTTACAGTTGCTTTGCTTTATCTTCTGGAGTGTGGCCTAGGGATCTAAACACAGGAGTGGGATTAAAAAATTCCTAAACCTTGGTTCTTGCTCTACCACTGATTCTGTGATTCATGGAAACCACTCACTCTTTTTTTTTCATTATTCTGTCCCCATTCAGAAAAAGAATAAAAAAGCTTGCAGAACTCATAAGGGATTTCAAGGTTATCTTCGTGTGAAGATGAAAAAACATTTTCAAGCATTCACTAGTACTATTTCTTTAGAGAAGGCATTAAATGGCTAAATCTCCTCTCAAGTTGATGTATTTCTGAAATAGAGATATATACGCATAACCTCTGAGGTAATCTAATCAAATTTCTGGTATGAAGGTCTATATAAAGATAGGAGAGAAACAAAAATAAAAAGAAATATGTAATAGTAGTAATGAAATCTCAATACTTATTTATAATGAAAATATTTTTCAGGTTAACTACAATGCTATTATAGCCACCAAAATACCATACTGAATCCATATTAAAATACTACGTATGAAAAAAACTTGCTTTTTTTAAAGTTTGAAAGAACATCTTATCTTACAGAAGTCTGAAACAGAGACTGAAATATAATGTAATTGCAAAGGTACATAGGAATTGTACGTATTTTTCTCATTAAAGTTATGAAAAAAAAGTCTTCAAGATAAATTCAGTAAGACGTATTTCTATATGTCTGCAATAACTGCATTCTGCTTAATTTTGCAGGTGTTTTCCTGTACATATTTCCAAATTATATCCTTAGTTATATATCAAATGTCTACCTTTCTTGGTGAGGTGCAACTATGTACAAATTGTCAAAATCCATTTATGTTTTCTTCTTTCTATGTGTAGGTCTTTTGCTGAAGGCAAGGAGAATATACTACTTTAGTAAGGCTCAGACATAAGATGTTGAGGATTTTTTTCCCCTTATGTTCTGTTATTCAGAACCTATTGCAAGTTATTTCTCACAGGTCTAAGGAATGATAAGGCATGCAGAGGTGAGCAGTAAGAAAAAATTCTGTGCCTGAACCAAACTGTAATAATTACTTGTTTACTTATAATTACCTCTGGTATAAGCTGACCAGTAGGTGAAGTTAGAGTTGAAGGTCCTCCAACCAAGGAAACAACCCCATTGCAATCCACAGTACTGTGCATCTTCCCATTTACTGGAAGGGCCGGTACCATTCTAGAGGACACACTCGCCTGACTAATATTACTGTTGCGCCGTTCTCCATGTCGATTTGGAACAAAGAGAGAATCTCTTCTGCTTTCATTGTCTTCAAGAGTGCTGTGCTCATCATCAGCAAAGTCGTTTTCAGATCCTATGTCTTTTGCACGACCTCTGAAGCTGAAAATGCTTGTTTTGCTGTTGCGTCTTGGTGAGAACAGGGAACCGCGAATGCTTAGCAAAGACTGTAAAAGATTTAAAACAAGTCAAAACAAAACAGCGTTAGAACTGAAGTTCGAAGTTCTTGGCTTTTCAAAGAATAGTTACAGTGCTGGAGGAAGGATAGTCACTTTTTTCTTCAACTGTATCAGTGTGTCCATTTGGGAAATGTGCTCATTAGGGGACCTGAAGTAGAGGGAGAAAATTCTTTCTAAGGTAATGTAGCAGGACTGAGGAAAAGTTGTACAGAAGACATAAGTAAGGTTGGACAGTTTTGAGCAAAGAAGGCAGGTTGAGTTGGTATGGATCCATGACTGTGCTGGAGACAGTTCTCAACATCAGTATCAAGATTTTGCAGGCATTTGTCTTTTATTTTTTCCCTTCTTCAACCACTGGATTCCTAGGAATAACAACTGATAACGCTCATTTATCATTGTTTTCTATTCTATTTGCTAAAGGCAGAAGTGGCCTTAAATTTGGTATTAAATTCACTGTAAGTTGATGTAAAGAACTTGGCTGCCCTCTTCACAACAGGCTCAATAGTGTGGGAATAACATACACAGTACTCTAAAACTAGAAGACAGAGGCAACAGCTTGGGGAAGCTCTGGAGGTACAGTGTGAACATGACTAGTAGCACTCTTAGGCATAGCACTCTGGGGGCTATAGCAGGCTGCACACCTACCAGAAGGTACCACTTGACCATCAAGCAGCTCAAAGCAAGCATTCACCAGGGACACAGTTACCTAAAGATATCCTCTTACAAATGAGAAAAATAAATCAGTGGTTGTTGGTAATTCATCTTTTAATTAAAGTAGAAGCTACCTAATGGAATGTTCTTCTCCCTTGCTACATATTTTATTAACAGCATTCATGAATAAATAAAATGAGTACTAATTGTGGAAAAAAGAAACCTTGCATTAAGCTTTCTTCAGTTCTGCATTTGTACAAATCTTCACATTTTGGTACATAAAAAACCTGGTTTGAAATTATTCTCAATTTTTCACTCAAGTTTTGCAGGTGGAAAGTGCTCATATGTAACAGCAGTGTTTTTTATCCCAGGATAATTAAAGTGAAAGTTACAACTGCACTATCATATATAAGCCTATATTAATATTGTCAAAACTGAACACTGAATATATACATATATCAATACATATGTATCTCTGTATATGCATACTCAGATTTATACATACATACATATAGCGTGTATGCTGAACTGGTCATACTGTCTGTGATAAAGGCTGGCAGGTGTTTACCATTATGAGATGTATTTTTTCTGCTCTTACAGCTATAATAAATTTTAATAATGTGGGCTGAAATTTTCTATGCTGGCTATCAGCCTCAGGCTGAGTTACTTGAAGAGTATCAGCCAAATGGTTTTACGATCCCATTTATGTAAACTTGGCTGGAGAAAAAGTGCTGTTTTGCTTATGCTGAAAGATAATTTTAGATAATTTTTCTAAAAAAAATGTCTAACTGCTATAGAACATGACACTGAATTCTGACAAAGTGGTAAACTAATTATTGCATCCTTTGTACATTTCTTTGTAAATGTATTTGGCCAACCTACAGTCCTTCCAAAAATCACATGATCGCTAGGTTTCATCTGACTACCACTGCTACCCTTGTTTTTTTAGAGAATGTTTCCATGGCTGCTATATTTTGTTTGTTGTCCAATCTTTCCAATACATGTTATCATGCGCTAAGCACAGCTAAATGGATCAGGCCCCTCAGGAATTTAGAAGGAGTAATGCCTGCTTTGAAAATCCCTGATGGATTGAGACAAAAGATATAAGCCAAAATGGCTGCAGTTGTAACACATATAGAGGCAAAAATATGTGTCTACATGCTCCTGGAAAGTAAGATCTGAAAGGAAAGCTTGGCTTTTCTTGCAGGCTGCATCATTTGTTTGCACAGGAAATATTGTGTCAAAGGACAAAACGTCTACAGGGGCCAACTGGGATTATGTCCCCTTACCATTCTACCGCGTTGTTTCATGCTCTGCCACCCTGTTTCTCCAGGGAGCTAACTGCATGGCTAACGAGACAAACCAACTCTTCCATTACCAGTTCTACTGCCTGTAATCCTTCCACTCTTGGAACATTAATTTTAATGTTATCAAAAATAATTTGAAATGCCGTGCTTTCCTAAGCTGCTTAAATTTCTGTGGAGGTTTCACAGTTCTTCATGACAATTGCAAGGATGAAAGCTTTCTGAGAGTTTGGGAGTATGAACAAATACATGCAAGAATGCTTTACTGTATGCTAATAAAGCTACAGAAAGTTTATTATCTATGGAATCTCTTTGTCTCAAATTCTCCTCCCCTTAGTATATATGCTTCTGTAGTAAGTATTTTTTCTGTGCACCAAAAATGTATTTAATATAATATACACGTTAATCGGTCTCTTCACCAGAAGTATATAAAAGAGCAGCAGGAAATTTAGACTAGACAGTGGAGAGGCCTATTATCAAGTAGTTAAAGCACAGGACTAACAGAAATTCCTTTCTGCTCAGACTTTGTCAGTGACCCTTCTTTATTGTGCTCAAGTCACTCACCATCCTCACCTATGAGGTACAGACTCCTACATATATATCTGAGACAGAACTGTGCAGTCTAAGATGAGATCTTTGGCTGCAGCTCCTTTGTATCAGCCTGACTCAAAGCCCATTCCAATGACAGATTTTTTTGAGCACCTTTGGCCCAAAACTAATAGTACATTTTATTAGATTGGAAATACACTTTTACAATATTGTAATATATGCGATATATGTGTAATATTGTAATAAATGAGATAGATTTAAGGATTTGTTTTTCTTACATTTTATTTATTTCTTATCCAGAGAACAACTTGGTCATTCTTCTTAATTACAATAAACATTACTTCACTTCCTTAGAAATGCAAATTTTTCAGACCAGGCATCATCGCTTATACTTGACTAATTACTTAAATTAAGCTTTCCTCCCCTCAGTACATATATTTCAGAATGACATATTTCTGCCACTGAATCTCATATTTTACATCAGTCTGTAAACTAACACACTTGATACGAATATTAAATAGGATAAACCTTGGTAGTTAAATATAGCTCGTACTGGTAGCTAAATGTCATCTGTTGGCTGAGACTAGACATGATCATTTTGAAGAGATGGATTTTGAGTGATTTTTCTACAAATATCGTAACTGTGTGTAGACTTGAAATAAGCAAAGGTATCCTTAAGCAACAGAAGAGATCCTTTGATTTAAGGGAGTAGAACTTTGAAGTTGGGACTAAATGATTTCCAGAGGTCATTCCTAAACTATTTTTTCTATGATTTCAATGATTCTCCATCTTGTATAATGTATTTCTAGTGAAAAAGAACAGTATGACTAGATTCTCATAAATACAGGGCCAAACGATCCCTTATGCATTTTGTCATTATTGTAGAGTACTACAGCTACTTTTTGCATTATCTACCTTTTAAAGAAGCTAATTAAGGAAAGCAATAGAAACTAATGGTAGTGTGGAATTTCCTATTCAGGGTATTTTGATGATGTGGTCTTCTAAAAAAGAAAACATACTTGTATAGTTTTGAAATAGATGCAGAACAGAGAACCTATGGTTGATTAATGCAAATATATGAATACTAATCAAAGAATCTTTGTTTCTTTCTCCAATCTACCAGATGCATCTTCAGAAATACATTTTCAGAAATGTTTTAATTAACTTTACAATTATCCTTGGTATATTCTTTTTATCCCTTTGCTAATAGAATGGATCAAACCATGTCAAACTGTAATACAGTTAACAGTACTATTGGTGGGTTTTTTCCTTCACTCATCTTTTACATAACTTCCAATATATAAAGCTTCTGTAATGTCAGTCAAAATCTAATTAGAGTAGACATACATAATTTAATAAAAAAGAGTGCTGTACCTGGTGGGGAGATGTGAACCTTTTTTCATATGTCAGTTGACTTCCTTCTGTGGAGAAGCGGAAACTTTTCCTTCTGATACTGTCTTCTGACTCAGACTTGGGGAACTTATCAATATCACCTTTGTCCTCTGCTTCAGACATTTCTTTCTGTCTTCTTTTCTTCCTTCTGTTTCTTCTTTCTTTAGCACTCTTTGTGCTCAACTTTGATGCTTCTGAAGAACTTTCCAAGAGTTCTCCTAATCCCCCTACACCACTGAAATCTCTTGATGCAACTGATGCTGCTGCTACTGCGGCTGTTGCCTGTCAGGTTACAAAGCAAGGTATTCTTAGTAGGCCAACAATGAACAATTTTATAGGCTTTTATCAACTGCTTGCATTATCACTGTGGTAATACTGCTCTTGTATACCTTGAGAGTGCAAATATAAACAAACAGATTAAACTGAAGATAAACTGTTGAGCTGTATAGCTCCTCATTGTTTAGTAGCATGAGCTACTTGAAGCATCAACATCAGCAGAACAGTAGCATCACTATTCCTTAAAGACTTGCTGCACAAGACACCAGTCTAAAATTAGTCAGAAAATAAACATGGGTCTTTTTCATGTATTCCAGACCTGTTTCCCCATTTTCTTTTGAGAAAAGCCCCACGTCGTGCTCTAATTTGGCTGGTCCATTCTGAGTCCCTACAGAGAAAATTAATGCCTAACATCCACCATATGAGTTAATGTACCACAATCTAACTAGCAGTCTGCAAGCAGTTGAATCCAACCTTTCTTCACTGTCTTCACATCAAGAACACTCCCCTCACTTTCCTTCTACCTTCACTGGCAACAGGAACACCCTCTAGACATGTCTTCAAGCCTTCCCACCCTCCCATATGTCCCACTGTAACAGCAGTTTAGGTCTTTGTTACAGATAAGAAAGGTACATTTATTGCCTGTTGTTGCTGCGGCCAGAGAGAAGAAAAAAGTTTAGGTTTCTTCTCTGATGGAAAGGCATGAACTGACTTGCTGGAGCGAAGAGCCATCCCAAAACTCAGGACCTGTATCTTCAACTACAGTGGTCAGCCTACCTGATTTGGTTCATTAGGGAAACTGGTTCATTTAGTCATCAAATAAAGGAATAATTGAGAGTATATCCAGGATTCTTCCTAGAAAGAACTGTCTGGGAGATTGCTATGAAATTCTGCAGTGGCAAATATGTTTGGGAAGCTGACAGGCTTCAGCTTGTGATCTTACAGAAAAGGGTGGTGTAAGAAATGGCAAGAGACTAGGGTTACATAACAAAGATGACAGGTAATTATTCAGAAAAACTTACTGTATTCAATGCGAAATATTTCAGGAATGATGAGAATCGCTCTACAGCAGAATTGTTTGAAAGCTCATAGTATAAATCAATGTCTTTCTGCACCACAATGTACAACCCATGGTATACAGGTTGATTTGATGCATAATTTTTCTGCTAAATGGAGTATTAAAAAGATTCTGAAGTGTTTATCAATTTAAAAAAGTGATACTTCAAATTTTGTCATACTGGTTGCAGAATATCATCCTTCAAATGCTGTAACAGAGACAAAGGCAGCAGATACTAAGTCACCACCCAAGTACTTCATAATACTAACACCGAAGGTCAAACAAGTGCAGCAATCCAAAGACTGTTGTGATAGCTTAGGTTTGTGGATGAATAGGTTCAGTGTCAAAGGAGTGAAGAGATGGGTCCCACACTCATTTCAGCAACCAATTCCGCAGCTCTGTGATCCACCTTGTAATGCATACTTTCTGCTAATATCCTCACATACATCTTGACTGTAACACTGCTTTTCTTCTAATGAATTGAGTGGCCATTCATTTAAAAAAGTAACGACTTTCCAGGGCCTTTATCCAACCTTCCTCATAGTCTCAGTTTCATATGGTTCTCTTCTTGTTCTTAATCCTGGATCAGCTTCATCTCTGTCCCCACTCCCAAACTCACAAACATCTAGATAAGCCTCCTGATATCTTTTGATGTAATGTGATTTAGTGCCTTTTGTGGATGAAAATAACAGAATAATAAAAAAAAAAGTACTCTTTGCTGATATTTACCTTTTTTAAAATTCAAATTTTGCAGGAGTCTGCTTTTTTGTTAGTGATTTGGAAGTGATAAGGTTTAAAGACTAAAATAGAGATATGCTAATTAGACTTCACAGGTCATGCATAAAGATTTCTTTTCAAGAAAAAGACAGAGTTTCACTTTCTATTAGCACTTTATAGAATTATTTTGACTTAGTGAAAGTAGCTGTAAAACTCTACCAAAACTACAGTTTCATAGAAGATTCTAATTTGCTAGCATTTTATAAACATTGTCCTGTTGAAAATGACAATATGCCAGATGAAAAGCAACAGAAAATCAGTCCAGAAATTATACAGATGTCTGACTCAGCTGAATTCCTGCATATATTTTACTTTTAGATAAGAAAACCTCACACAAAAGTATCTATTAAAATGTCTTTTTCTCATAAAACTTTAAATAATTTTCTTCTCTTTTCAAAGAAAACATAGATTATGCTAAAAGAATTCTGAAGTAATACCTTTGTTATAAATGTAAGGATATATAAACTTCTGATTGACTTTAGTGTGCTTGAATTAGGGATATACTTAAATAGCTTGCTGGATAGAAACCTAAAAGAACACTGATTACAATCCTTCTCTCTATTTTCTGAATATTGGGGAAGAACTATTAAGTATAGCAAGCCTGGCAATTCTCACTCAGACCGTAAACCAGAAGTAACATCACTAGACTTTTTTCATGCTGTTCATAAGATCTGTAACATAAAGCATCATGAACTATGACTACTAAAGTCAAATTTCTAGGACACTCTTATCACAAATATTTTGCTTTTACAGTCTTTTGGTGAACTTAGTAGCATTCTTTTCTGTACCGTTAACTTGCTTTCTTACTATTTGGTTAGTTCCTGATTTTCATAGGCTATTTCCGCTTTTGTAACTTGCGTGGTAAATATATATATATAATATAAAATATAAAATATATAAACAGTTTATACATGTTCTAATTCATAAAAGATTATTATCATTGTTTTAAGAATAAGGCTGTTCAGAAAGTACAATTTCCATCATTACCTGAGCTTCTTCTTGTTGCTTCTTCAGTTGTTCCAGCATTTGTTGAAATTCTGCCTCTTTCTGCTCTGCTTCTTCCATGGTTGCTTGATTCTGTTCTTCGTAGGCCATGGCAACCACGGCCAGGATCAAGTTGATCAGGTAGAAAGAGCCCAGAAAGATCACCAGAACAAAAAATATCATGTATGTTTTCCCAGCAGCACGCAGTGTCTAGGAAGTAGAAAGCATATCTATATATTATTCCACCACTTACCTTTGTTACTGCAACAGCATTATGCTTTCAGCTCATGTACAAATAAGCCTGTTTATATAATTTTGTATGTCACCCACAGTTCACTTTTTATATCATAAAAATTTCTTACCAGCTGATACAGGTTCTCCCAGAAATCCTGAGTCATTAGCCGAAAGAGTGACAAAAAAGCCCAACTGAAGGTGTCAAAACTTGTGTAACCATAGTTGGGGTTTCTACCAGCTTTCACACATATATATCCCTCTGGACACTGCCTATGTGAAAACCAAACAGGAGGTACTTAGTCATACCTTTTATTTTCTTCTAGAACATACTTATTTTCTTTTGGAACGATATGCATTATTTTTTCCACAGGAAATCCATGAATTACAATTTAATTAATTCAGAAAAAAAAGTCCTAAGAAACAAGCTAATAAAAGAGTAAATGAAAGGTACCCCTTCCGTCCGTTCACTGATTGAAATGACCTAAATACTTAAATTCTCCTCAGTTACATTTTGCAAATGGAATCTTTATTCCAAATTAATAATTCCTGGCAGAAATAATTGCTAAAATGTTGTTAAGGTTACAGACAGATTAAACAACTCAGCTGTTGAGCTAACAATTCCAGCTCATAATTGGGCAAGTGTGTATGGCAGAATTTGCCAGTAATGAAAAAGAGTTAGGCTTTGAAAAAAAGATTCAGTCTTGAGCTATGAAGTCACTACTGTGCTTTCTTAATATTTTACACATTCTTTTTCGCAGTTCTAACCTTTGCTTTCATCCTACTTTCTTCAATCAGTACATCTCCAAAATAGGCTTTACAAGAGTTCAGATTTTATCATTAACATCAAAATCATTTTCCAGTCAAGCAGGAAGAAAGGCTGTTGATGAGTATTTCATTTAGCCAGAGAGTAAAATATTTTGATTTAAGAAAAAAACCATTGTTTTGCAGCAAAACTCTGTAAGTTCTATAACACTGCTAAATACAGAGTTGCAAATGCTACCGTTAGTTTTCATGTTATTGCTTTTTCTACAGAACATAACAGAGCATTTTTGAAAGGGTCTTACCCTGCATCAGAGCTATTTCCACAAAGTAGGGCATCTCTTTGTCCTTCCAAAATGTAAAAATGGGCTGTGTGGAAAGCATTAGAAATATATGTGAATAAATCAAATTAACCTGAAACTACTACAAAGTAAAACAAAAACAAATTGTAAGAAAATCAAAGTGGCTAGCTGCTGATCACTTTGTAGTTTGTTTAGGAACCCTTCTGGTTATTGTTCTTGTTTATTGTATGTATTTGATCTCTGTTAGTCAGTGACTGTAAGCAGTTCTACATAAGGCAGAAATAGAAACTGTTCAATATTCTTTGATCACAAATAGTTACATACTATAGCCACAAATATATTAAAAATAGTTGTATCAGTCATTCTTACTTTCATCCTCAATGTAATCCTTCCAGTTAAATGTGCTCACTGTCATATTAACAAATGTACCATTTTCATCCATTGTGCTATTAAAGTAGGAAATAACATTTATTTCAAAAGTAGAATTGTCTGGAGGCCACTGCAGGCATTTATTCCTCAAGTTGCCCATGAACAGCTGTAGCCCTATTAGTGCAAATACACTCAGACAAAACACAGTCAGGATCATAACGTCCGAGAGTTTCTTCACAGACTGAATTAGGGCTCCCACAATAGTCTTTAGGCCTGTAAAGAGAAAAGATCCACAGATTCATCAAAGAGTATCTTGGCTCTTCCCATATAATTAAGATGTCATGCAGACACTTAAAAGAAATTATTTTTTATTTCTCAAAAAGTAAAGCTTCATGAACAGCCTCAGAGCTCGTGAAGATGAATGAAAGAAAAAGATTAATTTTTATGACTATGCAATGTACATATATTCCAATAAATTGAATATATAATGTATTCTCAAGCAGGAAATTTTATCAATCACTCTTTCAAAAAAATAGATTTTATTTAATTTCTTATTTTCTCTCTGCATTTAATATTCTGCCAATAATTCAGTATCTAGTTAATATTAAATATGACTTCACAACAGTATGAAGTATGTGAGTAGTATGAATTAGAATTGCAAGTAGTTTGAGTAAAAAAAATCATTTGCGTTTGATAAATTTTCCTGTGCAATTTTTATCTCCTTTCTGGTAGCTTTTTTGTTGTTACTTGGTTGTCTTTAAGAATAATGTCCATTTTAAGTGGTAAAATAAAGGAAAAAATTCAAAATCAAGAAAGCCATAGTGCTAAAGCTTTTTCAATGTAAAAGAGACAACTTGGTCATAATAAAATGCAGAAAAAAAGCAAAATAACCCATAGGCCTCATATTTGATGTTTCATGCAAGAATCTGTTAAACTCAAAGGCTGATTTTGCAAAATAAAAGAAGCTAATGCTGAAAAGGCAAAGAATCATAAGCCAGGCTGATGATCCATGACTTTTTGGTTTGGGTTTTCTTTCTTTTTTTTTTTTTTTTTTTTTTTTTTTTTTTTTTTTTGGCAACACAAGCAGCAAACAGCAAGACTTATGCTCAAAAGAAGTGAATTCGACTTCAATGGAATGAAAGTCAGCCTCGGTGTTTAACCTCGCTCTCACCTGGAATGACTGATATTGTTTTCAAAGCTCGGAGAACTCTGAATGTTCTCAACGCTGAGACATTGCCCAGGTCCACAAACTCTGTCACATATCTGTAATAGGGGAGTTCACACACAAACACAATGACAGCACACAAATAACAGTTGGAGATACGAGGGGCCTAACACCTTACACCAACTACTTCTTACCTGGGATTACAGAAATAGTTTTCAAAGCTCTCAATACTCTGAAAGTTCGAAGAGCTGAAACATTGCCTAGGTTTACAAATTCTGTTACATACCTGTAGGATTAAATCACAGTTATTCAGAATTGAGGCAGAGCTTATACTAATTATGTGGGTCTTCAAAACCTCTGTGGCAACATTAGCAATCATATTGCAAAATTTACCTGTCTCTTCACTACACCTTGCTTTTACAATTATTTATTTTCAGCAATTTTGCTTAAATTGCATTGAAGTTAAACTCACTGATTTGTATTTGAACAGCTAATCAAACTAATTAGCTTGTAATAGGATGGTGACATGAAGTCAAAGGGATGGCTTCCATTCTGGTCAGCAGAAAAATGTAGGACATGAAATTAGTGTCTCTAAGCAGTAATCACAGTAGCGGCTGACACTCTGTGCTGGCTCCTGCCATATTTTACTTTGATTCATGAGTACTAAAAGTGTGATATGGCATCTAAACTTCACAGGTTGCAGAAGTGAAATACTTTTAAATCAATGTATTTATTATAATATTTGCCACTAATTTCATGCCCTGAAAGCTTAAAAAGTTCTTGAACCACTTACGCCATTAAAATGACACTGAAGTCAAGCCAGTTCCACGGGTCTCGCAGAAAAGTAAAACCTTCTAAACAGAAGCCCCTTGCAAGAATTTTGATAAGTGATTCAAAGGTATAAATTCCAGTGAAAGTGTACCTGAAAAGCATCAAAGCAGGAATAATGGATGTTTGCATACTTATGCTTATAGACAGTGCCCTTTTTATCAAAGATAACTTGCAAGAAAATAATTTAAAAGTGAAAGGAGAAAATATGCTATAGATACAGATATAGATCTATATCTATAAAATAGATATAGATATAGATATTTTCTAAAAGCTTAATTTAATCTCAGTTTTTGTGCTTGCAAACCATTTCAGACTCTAGTATTTATAAATACATTTCTGACTTTGATATTTATATGTACATTCTCTGGCACTCACAGGGCTGCCTCTGCATTCACAAATAAGGTAGACGTCTAAATGTTACCAAAAAAAGGGACTTTTTTTAATGTCAAAATCAGAGATTTTTGTGAAAATCAGTTCTGGATAATAACTATATTCATGCTTATAACATAGGTTTATTTCATAAATAAACATTAAATACGAGAAAACATGCCCAGATTGTTATTCTTGAGGATGTGGAGCATGATTACCGATTTACCTGGTGTGGTAACAACCATTCATTTATAAACATAGAATAGTCAGTTATAACCAGAGTAATGCAGGGACTTCCTGAGGCCCACGTGGGTCTGTGCAGACCTCCAGAATAAAGGAAATCTACCTACAGATCCTAGTGCTTTCCTTTCAGACTCGGCAACCCTAACAAGCCATAGCCACTGTTGAGCATCCTGGGAATGGGTGAATGCCAGTGCAGTTTCTAAATATATCATTAAGAGTAAGATTCCTTAATGCAGTGAAATAAATAAATGGAAATCAATAATGGCTATTGAAGAACATGAGGGAATGAAAGAAACCACAAGTGGTTAGAACTAGGTTTTTCATGAGTAGTACTATTTCAAAGAAAAACATAGTATTTCAAAGAAAAATGTGTATCTGTATTTTGTTAGAGAACAAACATGCACATATAAGCATGAACAAGAGAGAGAAACAGAAATACTTTGTAGTTTCCTTACTTCTGTGAGTTCTTTCTTGATCCTTCATAGGCAAGGCCCTTTCCTCAGTGGTTTGAGCTTCTTTTGGTTTGGGTGTCGTGTGTGCTTGCTGTGGCTGGCACTTGTGAGTCCACATCAGTGAGCCACAATGAATTTGTCCCACTGTGCTAACATCATGGATGCTCAAGCAATATATCACTGGCCTCACCAAAGACATGCAACTATTTTACATGCACATTGGAAGTTCTGGAGCTCCTTTTCCAGTTTACAGCTCAGAACACCCAACGACAAGAGCTCCTGTTCGTACTTCACGGCAGAAGTTCAAATACTCCTCCAGATATAGTTTTAAAGAACAAGGCATTATTCTTAAACCATTGAAATTATTCATAAGAAAACCAGAATGATATTGACGATCTTGTGAATTCTGGTTCTTCATGACTCTGGAAAAGCCCATCCTGACATGCAACTTCCCAAAAATGCTTCTTGTTTGGAGCCACACGAAAACAAAGTAGTAAATACAAAGAAGTAAAAATGTTTAACTTACTCTACATTCTTTGTCCAGTCTGGAGGGTTACTCATGGTCATAAATACGCAGTTGGTCAAAATAGTGCACATGATAAGCATGCTGAATAATGTAGATTATAGTCAAGGGATGTAACACAGACAAACAGGACAGTTTTATAACACTGAAATAATTTAAAATATTAAGTGTATAAAAATATGTACAAATAACATGACATCTTAAATGAAATATGAAAATAAAACTTTGCACATAATTTTATCTGTTTGGAATGGTATGCCATCTGGCATGTTATGGTGCAGTTACCGTAAAACAATGCATTACTTTTATAATTATGGCAGGTTTAGGATTTAAATGAAACTTAAATACATCCTTAAGTCTGTAATATACCCTTAAGTCTGTAAACATACGAAACGAGTACACAGACATAATTACTCATTGAAGCCAGCGGGATCATTCTAAAAGATCTTGAGGCAGAGGCTGGTTTTTTACACCCAAGTCGTTCTTTGGACATGATCGAAATACGTTTGAAAATACTCTCTGTTATTCTGACCTGGATCTTTTATAGGACACCTACCCCAATGCTGAAAACACAATGCCGAAAAAGTATGCCTGAAAAAGCTGCTCTTCACTCATGCTCTTTTGTCCTTGCTAAGCGAGTCTAGTTCATGAATAGTACTACTGGTCTTGGTAAAAGTGTGACCTTAGATATGTTCAAGTGCAATGGTTTGTTACTAATTTGGCCTTAGCTGCAGGGCTTAGTAGGGGATCAGGTCTCCTTTTGTATGTAAAACCTGATATTTAAACTCTGACAGCTTTAGGTGGTTCAGTAGAGAATTCTCTCAGTAGGAATGAGGATCATACTGCAATTCACATGTGATATTGCTGCTTTTTAAGTGTGATCAGCGTATGTTTAGTTAGCATAGTATACCCACATGGACATAATTTGTACATCCATATGAAAAGTATTATTTCAGTAATTAAATAGTTTAAAAGGCAACCCTTAAATCAACATTAAGAAAAAAGGATATGAATGTACCAAAATCTTGATAGCAATTTTTCTGATGGGGTTAAAAGGAGTTAAAATATACAAGGCAGATGTGGCACTGAATCGGAAAATTGCCTTTCCCTTATTCAATACTATGAAAGTCTGGAAAAAAGAAATGCAAAATTAAAATACAGTGTTGACTACATAAATGTCTTTACCTCCTCCTAAAGGTTTCCATTCTCCACCTGGGAGGTTCAAGTTCCATTCTACTGTCTACCTGTGGTAGGAAAACAACTGATGTCTATGAATACAGTGGATTAAGCCTTGCACAGCCAATTCTCCAATTTGCTAAATTTCCCAGCATGTGGACTGAATTCTGATATTATTAAAATTGGTGGAAATTATCATCACCAATGTCAGTTCATCAATAACAGCAAAATGCGGCATTTTATCACTAAAATATTTTCAATTTTGTTTCTAACAAAGTCTTTGATTGAAGTCAGAGTTTCAAATTTATAAAATACATTCTACCTTGTGAGCAAACAAACAAAACCAAAACAGCAAAAGGACAATTCTAAATGCCAATTTGTATTTAGAACAAATACTTGACAGTTTTATACACATATATCTGGTGACAATGGCAAATACCTGTCACTAAACAATTAACCATAATTTAAAAATAATTTTGCTTTCATTTTAGATTTTTAAGTACTACCAGTACCAATTATATGTATCTTCTAAAAATGTATCAGTGAAAAATGGAAAGGGATACATAAATTGCCAGCTGACATCATTCTGAGAGTTCTGAGACAAATGTATGCCTGAATTTGCCACCCTATAACAAAAAATATTTTCTTCAAAAAAAAGCTGTTTTCATTTTTAACAATATGCTCTTATTTTCCCTATATGTGAGCACCAAATTTAGGTAGTTATTATCTTTAAAAATTTGACCTGATGAACCTACAGTTCATGTTCACTTTCATTCTGTTGCTGTTGGTGGTCATCGCCTAAGTGTTTTCATTTTAATTCCAAGTGCATTTGTGTGTGAGGTTTACTTGCATCTTTGATGTTGTTTGAAATTTCTTCAGGACACAACTATTCTTCATTCCTTTTGCTCTTTGTCAATGGTAATGGCCCTGCTTTGTGTTACCATAATAGAGTTTTTGTTATGCTCTCAGCAGAGCTATATAGTATCACTGTTCTCCATGTTGATTTCCATTCTCCGTAAAAACTTGGCGGTGATCAGAAAAACGCTGCCCTCTCCGTGGCCTTTACTGCCTATATGGTCTGCTGTCTCTGGGAGAGAAAGCAAACCTCTCTACAGTGGGAAAGAAAACAGGTAAGGAGGGTTGCCTGTTCACAGAATAACATCAAGTGTATCACTGAGGATGACAGAGGATGGACTCACACACATTGGCATTTTTCTCTGCCTACAGCCCTTCCCAGCTAGAAATGCGAGAAAGATGTTGCCTGTCCCAAGGTCACTGCTGCAGCAGAGCCTGAAGACAGACTCCAATTCACATATGATTTTCTCTGCTTTGACAAGTTGTTGATTAAGAGCAGTTTCTGCTATAAACTGGAGGAGGGATGACTAATTCATTGTTTAAGATGTCCATTTGTTTTCTGTTGAGCGCATTAGGCTGGGACATAATAAAAATACAGATGCCACCTGTGATGAACGAGTCTGCAGTTTACTCTTGTAGACTAACAAGTCCATCAGTAGTCTGAGTTTTTACACTTTTGTTCCAAAAAATCTGACTACTTTTTTTGATCATTGGAAGTTAGAAAGTATAATTCAGTACTTCACAGGTTTTCTGATACTTCATTTGTAGAAGACTTGTTTAGAAAACTTTATTCCTGAACTTATTTATGCAACTTTATTCCTGAATTTTTTTGCAGCTAGTCAAGAAAAGGTCTTAGTGTACACAATTATATTGTAAATAAGAGTCTGCATGGAACTGTTGATATAACTAAAACCATATAAATGAAAATAACCCTTGGCAACACTCCTTCTCTGAGCTTTCATTTTTTTAAGTTTCTTTAATAATGTTAATATTTGTATTATCTATAGCACTGTGTATTTAAGTTTGGCAACTGTTAGGTTATGTAATTACATAAGGATTCTGCTTTACTTTCCGTTCCTATTACTGAAGCCATAATTTTAAAAACAGTTTTGCGAACCAAATACATTTTATACATACATAGATAGCTGTATGTTTATATAGGTTATATAGTTATAAAAGAAACAAAGAATACGGTTACAGTCCTTTATTTCACTAAGTTGGATGGATGCTACCTGGTTATCTACAACCATCTCTACTGCAAAACCATGCTTGGAACACCTTGTTTGTCATATCCATATACTGGTACGCTGAGATCAGGAAAATTCAGTCATGTTCTCAAGTTCAGGCAAAGTCACAGAAGCTATATCTTCTTTACACTGAGATAAATAACAAGTAACTCAACTGAAGTTGAAGGAGTCACAATATAGAAGACCATAAATCAATTCTGTTAAATGAAAGCATGTTTATGTATATTTAGTGGCTTGGTGGCTCTAACCATCATATTTTGTGATTAAACTTTTCTAGCATAGAAAATTATATTTTATTTTGTGCAAAAGATAACTCACTTTTTTATTGATATAATATGGGTCCAGGTCTTCCAAAGGTTCAGATACCATTCCTGGAGGTATGTCACCATAAATAAATGGCAGTGTCTTCCCTGCCTCCAAGTCACTGTTTGGTTTTGGACCATTTTCGTCATCATCATCTGTATGTTCTTGCTTGGGCTTTTTAGCTTTTTCTTCTGCAGAACGTTTTTCAATAGCTGCGAGAGAATCTCTAGTAAAATAACGGAAGCTTTCAGGTCCTGGTGGTACCAGCAGTGCCTGTGCCATGTTTTCATCCTGCAAATTTAATTACTTTTAGCCTCTTGCATAAGAATGACCTATAAAAGAAAATTAGATAATTTAGTAAAAATAGATTGTACCAAAAGAAAAAAAAAAAACCCAAAACAATTGCTCAGAAAACCTTTCCAGGCCTGAAATAGAAGCATCATATTTCAAGGCTGAGTGAAAGTTAAAAGCAACTGCTCAGAATTTATTTAGATATTTTATAAATTAATCTTCAGCTTGTTCCTGCTGGTCTAGAAAAAGACACTATGTCTGCCCACAAACACAGCTTTGCCTATGTCCTTACACTCTCCCAGATAGAGCAAAATACTGATACAAGTGTTTTAACAGTATCTTTTTTTAACAGCAAGTATAAATGCATATGCTATGAAGTACTCTTGAAAATTGTAAACCTGTATTTTACTAGTTAATGCATTTTATCTTCCTGTATTTTTTCAAGTATTGGCAATCCCACTTTACAAATATAAATACCTTAATTCAACGAAAAAGAAGTTTTTGTATCATTAATGATGTTTAAATGACAGCAACTGAATTATGGAAGGAACAAGTATCATTTGTTCTTATTGACAGTGTGCTGTGCTGAAGGTTAATATTAGATACCAAAGCAGGTTAGGGCACGTTTATTGACTGTCTGTGAGCTGTGAATCAAAACCACAGACCTTTTAAGTAAAAGGAAACAGGATGCACGATCAAGACTATGTGGGAAAAGAATGCTGCTGATGATTTTTTGCAAGGCAAGTGTCATAATATTATATCAGTCTAAGACTAGTCTGAAATCTAAGACTCTGGTTCCCTATGAATGTCTCTGATGCCGGTGCTGGATGATGTAGTCCCTGCTGCTTTTTCCTGCCCTCTGCACTAACCTCTCCACTGCACAACAGGTCTCTTTATGAAGCCCGGCAGTGCATTGGCTGAAAGTAATGATCTCTTCTCTCTTCCAAGTCCTTCTGCAGCAGGACCAGTTGCTTAAACTGATGTGCTGTACAGCACAGTGGAGAGGTTTGAATGGCTGGAGGGAGGGAATGGTGGCAGGAAGACAGATCTGGTTAAGGAGCAGTGCCACCAAGTAAGAAGTGATAGCCTTACTTGATGTCTACTTTGCAAAAGTTTATGGCATAGTGTAGTACTAATTTTAATCAATTTTTAAGAGTAAGTTTCAGTGCCTGAAACAAGTTCTAACTGTGTTTTCTGTACATGAAGTCATGAGCATTCCCTACATTACATCATAAATGTGCAACATTTGTATTCTGGAGTTGCCAGTTGTCTAGATTTGAGACATAATACTGTATTTATGTGCATTCATTTAATAGCCTTTCTCCTAAAGCTTCTTGGCTGTCTGGAGAAGTTTGTAGAAATCACAGACGCATACTGTCCTGGTTTCAGCCAGGATAGAGTTGGTGGCAGCTGCGTGGTGCTTAGTTGCCAGCTGGGGCTAAACCACGACACACACACACACAGTGCTACAATAACGATCTTATGAAATAATGCTTTCCTTTTCAAATGACCCCCAAAAATGCTGGATGAAGGTAGAGGGGGATGTTAAAAAGCACTTGAAGAATCTACAATAGAAAACTGTAGGAAAGAAATGAGACTTCATGTTCCTCAATCTGAATTACCAATCCAGTGACATGCTGGGTAAACCTGCTCCTATGCCACCTCAAGTCTATCGCCGGAGTAGGTTCACAGCACAGCATCAATATGTACGATCAGCACTGAGAACACTGAAATAATTTAGTTGGCAGATTATAGCACCAGGCATCTAAATAACACAAGACCAGAACCAAGGTACCTGACAATAAATTTATAAATTAAATACACTGTAATGCAAACGTGGAGAAAGCTTTTCTCAAGAAAGAGCCTGGAGGACCATGAGTTAATATAATGTCTAGAATCACAGAGATCTTGGAGGCGCTGGAGGTACTGATGCAGCATAAATGGAAAAATAATTTGTTCAGCCAGTCAGAGTCTCAGCAGGCAACTTTATCACATGTTGCTATACTGAAACTTCAGCTACTAATTTTTTGTTTGTACAAGATGGATGCCTTTTGCTGATACCTGTTTTTTATTAATGTAACGCCCAATTATAAGGATCCTAAACTCAAGATTTTCCTTTATTTGAGAATTAAAAGCACATGCATTCTCTGGATACAGCCCACACCCCTTTGATTATTGCTTTTGCCCATACAGGATTAAATAAACTAAGAAGATATTTGAGTTTGAGGTTCCCCTTTGGTCTTTCTGAATAATTGATTCTTTTATTTTACATTTTCCACATTTTACAGGTCTGTGATTTAAGTTGTTGACCTAGTTGATTTTTCTATGACACTAGTCTTAAAAGGTGCACCCTCCTAGAGTCATCAGTGGGTCTGTCTTCTCTTTATAGTTCAGTGCATTTGGTTAGGCTGCTTTTCATCCGTTAACAGTTACAGTTATGAATGCTATAAAAAAAGTCATTGTTCTCACTAGAAATATCTGTATTTGTATTGCTAGAAGTCAAAGGGGCCAATGACTGACTGGGAAAAGTAATATTAGCAGACTGGGGGTTTCACTATATTTCTCAGGTAGTCATAAAATGTGCTTTAAAGAAGTTTTCTTGACAAGTTGGAAACGTTACTTGAGTCCTGCCTCCATTACTGTCTAGTACAGCTCTATCTTTCCCGGCTCCTGCTATTACACAAGAAGGTTTTTCCTATACTAAATATACCCCAAGTGCTTTCATTCAGATTACAGAGCTTAATAGAACAACACACAAATAGGTATTTGATTACTGTTGCTATACATGCAGTAGTTTAATAGAACAATGAAACAAAAGTAATTCTGTTTCCTGCACTGAGCCCCGAACAAGCTCTTAGCAATGCTTAACTGTGAACCACTTGTTTGTTAGTGGTAGCTTCCTTCTTCCTTCACTGGTTTCAAAACGGCTTGTTATCCAGTAACTAAACTGCCAGGATATGAATGATATTGGGCAGAATTCGCACAAAGAATTCTGTATATCTAATCATTTCAGAGTAGCTTTCATTAAAAAAAAGTCTTTAAAGGAGTGGTCTCAAAAATACATGTGTTCCAGGCCCTGTAGCAGTTTTGATACTGCTTAGCAAAAAGAACATCAAGTATTTGACATACAATTTGGGCCTAGATACCATATGTATAATGGTCTACAATTCAACAGATTTCATTAGAAAAAAGAAGGGCCAATTTATTAAAGACATGTTAAAGCCAAGTAAATCCATTTAGTTGTATTTGAGCGTTGCATTCCATAAATCCTTCTCCAGTTTTTCTTCAGTCCCTTCCTCTAAATAATAAAATTGAGCAATAAACAGTATCCATATGTTCTTAATTTTATGCATAATTCAGTTAATTGTATTATGTTCATGGATAACTTGTTAAAAGTTATTTTTAATATAATTATCTTCTCACCATTTGCACAGAAGATGACTCAGAAAGTAAGTAAAATAACTGTGCTAACGATGTCAAATTAATATTTGTGTGTCTCTGAAAAAGCCAGAAGTGGCCTGAAGGTATCAGGTTTTATGATCTCTTAAAACAGGCAAATGGTGAAAGTGAAAGTATCAGTGTAAGAACCAGTTGGATACTATGATTATTTATTAAAATCATCAAGTTATCTAACAGGTTATTTGCATTCTGAATGAAACTGTCCACATACACCCTTCAAAATTCTCATTGTGGAGAAATAGCAAACCTTGCAGTGTTTCTTATGGGATATTTTTTTTCTTTTAGAGCATTGGCATTAGAATTATTTTCCTGCTAAAATCTTGAAAAAGCTGACTAGTGAGATGTTCATTCTGTTAAAACTGAAACACTGGCACACAAACATGCATTTGATTAGGGTTGGAATAAGTGCAAAGATAGCAAATGGAATCTGTAAAATAACCAGCTATCATAATTTTCTTATGTTAATCTTTTATTTGAGAGGCCGTAATTTGGACGTAATACCTTCCTCTGTGCCAAGCACAGGAATAGCCTCTCAGATGTTAAAACCTGGATTAAAAACTCTGGTCTAAATCACTAGTGTTAATAAGACTAGCTGTCTCACATTAGGCCAGTAAAGATATTTGTCCAAATCAAAAAGGTGGGTGTCCTATAGTAGGAGACACAGAAACAACAGGGCTAGTGGCACCACTTCAGAACCAGCTAGAGATTATTTTCTGCAGCTTTAAAAGTAAAAAGTGTAGCTGTTCTGTGCTATGTCACCAGAAAATTACCTCAACTCAAACTACCACTGTCCTGAGGAAGAAAGGAGTACAGAGGGAGTGTATGCAGGAAGAGTCTAAAGAAATGAGTCATCATAACCCCCTCTCTTAGTATTTGTGAGGTTGTTTTGCAAAATTCACGTATTAACTTTCAGAAAGTGAAGATAAGTTATGTTTAAGTTAGTATGCTCTGATCAAATCCCGAATTGGGTAATGCTGCATTCAATTCATCCAAAAGACAAAAGGATGAGTAAATACTAGTTTGTTGTGAAGATGATCTAAAATGAAATATTTTTATTGAAATTTAGAATCATAGAATCATAGAATAGTTTGGGTTGGAAGGGAGCTTTAAAGGTCATCTAGTCCAACCCCCCTGCAGGGACTTCTTCAACTAGTTGAGGTTGCTCAGAGCCCCATCCAACCTGACCTTGAATGTTTCCAGGGATGGGGCATCTACCACCTCTCTGGACAACCTGTGCCAGTGTTTCACCACCTTCATTGTGAAAAATTTCTTCCCTATGTCTAGTCAAATTCTACCCTCTTTCAGATTAAAACCATTACCCCTTGTCCTATTGCAGGAGGCATGGCATTTCTCATGGCATTTGTGCACAGAGGCTAATTTCACAAAGAAAAACCTATTCACTTATCTGCTGAAAAGATTTGAAGTATTTTTTTACAGTTATAGATTATTATCTTTTCATAACTGACATCTACCTTGATTTTACTGGCATCTTTACACTATTTTTTACTGCTTTAAAAATATTTGAATAAGAA